GCACGTCTGAGACCTGTTGGATCAGAGGGTGAGGGCTAGGGCCATTCCCCCCAGAAATGTCAGGGAACTTGCAGGTGCATCTCACAGCAAGAACTGGCAAATCTGGTGCAGTCCATGAGGAGGAGATGCACTGCAGTACTTAATGCAGCTGGTGGCCACACCAGATACTGACTTTTACTTTTGACCCCACCTTTGTTCAGGGACACATTATTCAATTTCTGTTAGTCACATGTCTGTGGAACTTGTTCAGTTTATGTGTCAGTTGTTGAATCTTGTTATGTTCATACAAATATTTCCACATGTTAAGTTTGCTGAAAATAAGCGCTGTTGACAGTGAGAGGACGTTTCTCATTTCTTTTCTTTTTTTATATATATACAGTGCCTTCGGAAAGTATTCCGACCCCTTGACTTTTTCCACATTTTGTTACGTTACAGCCTTATTCTAAAATTGATGAAATATTTTTTTCTCCTTATCAATCTACACACAATACCCCATAATGACAAAGCAAAAACCGGTTTTTAGAAGTTTTTGCTATTTTATTATAATTTTAAAAACTGAAATCACATTTACATAAGTATTCAGACCCTTTACTCAGTACTTTGTTGAAGCACCTTTGGCAGCGATTACACCATCGAGTCTTCTTGGGTATGACGCTACAAGCTTGGCACACCTGTATTTGGGGAGTTTCTCCCAATATTCTCTGCAGATCCTCTCAAGCTCTATCAGGTTGGATAGAGAGCATTGCTGCACAGCTGTTTTCAGGTCTCACCAGAGATGTTAGATCGGGTTCAAGTCCGGGCTCTGGCTGGGCCACTCAAGGACATTCAGAGACTTGTCCCGAAGCCACTCCTGTGTTGTCTTGGCTGTGTGCTTAGTGTCGTTGTCCTGTTGGAAAGTTAACCTTTGCCCCAGTCTGAGGTCCTGAGCGCTCTGGAGCAGGTTTTCATCAAGGATCTCTCTGTACTTTGCTCTGTTCATCTTTGCCTCGATCCTGAGTAGTCTCCCTGTCGCTGCTGCTGAAAAACATCCCCACAGCATGATGCTGCCACCACCTTTTATTTTTATTACCGTAAATGTCCTAAGAAACTGTTTCCGCCTTATCATTATGGGATATTGTGAGTAGATTGCTGAGGAAATGTTTTTGTTTAGTCAATTTTAGAGTAAGGCTGTAACGTAACAAAATGTGGAAAAAGTCAAGGGGTCTGCCCCATCTGCCCTGAATGACGGGTCGATACTGGATAAGTTATACAAACATTCTCTGAAGATGGTATTCTTGACTCATTTTTTTTGCAAGCAATCAAATCAAATTTTATTTGTCACATGCGCCGAATACAACAGGTGTAGACCTTAACGTGAAATGCTTACTTACAAGCCCTTAACCAACAATGCAGTTTTACCTGCATTGGTTTTCTACCAATATAATGTTATTTATATGGGGGATACAATCTTCCCAGCTCTGCAGATTTTGCTGTGAAGAGACAGAATCATTAGATCATTTTGTTTTGGTTCTGTCCATTTGTAGCTTGTTTTTGGACACAGGTCCAGGAATGGCTAAAGGATTGCAATATTTACCTGGAGCTAACCTTGCAGATATCATTACTGGGTGACCTGAAAAGTCATAGTCAATCGATCAATAATGTAATAATACTTTTAGCAAAAATGTTTATTTTTAATTCACAATCTGTAGAAGCAATGAGAATAGAAAGGTTCAGAACTTTTGTAAAACATCACAGTACGGTTGAAATATATATGGCAAATAGAAATCATATATGGATGGTGTTAAGAGATAGATGGGAGGTATTGAATGGAGTTGAAGGATGGGACTAATAACAAATAACAACAAATAATAACAAGATAACTAATAATGTAAGCATACTGTGTCCATAATAAATATATAGGTTGTATGTTGGGAGCTTTTGGGAAAGAGCACAGTTAGAAAGATATGGCATATAGAAGCAAACCGGATGGACATCATGAAAATGATCGGAGAGGTCGAGAGTAGAAGTAGTTCAGGAGCAAAAACAAATAAAATAGAATTATTGTAAAATTGACTGTGTCCATAAAGTGTAGATAGTAAGTATAGGCTGGAAGTAGAGGCCTGGGCATTGTTGTTCACTAATTTACCCCAAGTAGGGAAAGGATGGCGGGGTTGAAAAGTAATAAAGGGGAGTATATATACAGTGGGGAAACTAATTATTTGATACACTGCCGATTTTGCCGGTTTTCCTACTTACAAAGCATGTAGAGGTCTGTAATTTTTATCATAGGTACACAAAAATCCAGAAAATCACATTGTATGATTTTTAAGTAATTCATTTGCATTTTATTGCATGACATAAGTATTTGATCACCTACCAACCAGTAAGAATTCCGGCTCTCACAGACCTGTTAGTTTTTCTTTAAGAAGCCCTCCTGTTCTCCACTCATTACCTGTATTAACTGCACCTGTTTGAACTCGTTACCTGTATAAAAGACACCTGTCCACACACTCAATCAAACAGACTCCAACCTCTCCACAATGGCCAAGACCAGAGAGCTGTGTAAGGACATCAGGGATAAAATTGTAGACCTGCACAAGGCTGGGATGGGCTACAGGACAATAGGAAAGCAGCTTGGTGAGAAGGCAACAACTGTTGGCGCAATTATTAGAAAATGGAAGAAGTTCAAGATGACGGTCAATCACCCTCGGTCTGGGGCTCCATGCAAGATCTCACCTCGTGGGGCATCAATGATCATGAGGAAGGTGAGGGATCAGCTCAGAACTACACGGCAGAACCTGGTCAATGACCTGAAGAGAGCTGGGACCACAGTCTCAAAGAAAACCATTAGTAACACACTACGCCGTCATGGATTAAAATCCTGCAGCGCACGCAAGGTCCCCCTGCTCAAGCCAGCGCATGTCCAGGCCTGTCTGAAGTTTGCCAATGATCATCTGGATGATCCAGAGGAGGAATGGGAGAAGGTCATGTGGTCTGATGAGACAAAAATAGAGCTTTTTGGTCTAAACTCCACTCGCCGTGTTTGGAGGAAGAAGAAGGATGAGCACAACCCCAAGAACACCATCCCAACCGTAAAGCATGGAGGTGGAAACATCATTCTTTGGGGATGCTTTTCTGCAAAGGGGACAGGACGACTGCACCGTATTGAGGGGAGGATGGATGGGGCCATGTATCGCGAGATCTTGGCCAACAACCTCCTTCCCTCAGTAAGAGTATTGAAGCTGGATCGTGGCTGGGTCTTCCAGCATGACAACGACCCGAAACACACAGCCAGGGCAACTAAGGAGTGGCTCCGTAAGAAGCATCTCAAGGTCCTGGAGTGGCCTAGCCAGTCTCCAGACCTGAACCCAATAGAATTTCTTTGGAGGGAGCTGAAAGTCCGTATTGCCCAGCGACAGCCCCGAAACCTGAAGGATCTGGAGAAGGTCTGTATGGAGGAGTGGGCCAAAATCCCTGCTGCAGTGTGTGCAAACCTGGTCAAGACCTACAGGAAACGTATGATCTCTGTAATTGCAAACAAAGGTTTCTGTACCAAATATTAAGTTCTGCTTTTCTGATGTATCAAATACTTATGTCATGCAATAAAAAGCAAATTAATTACTTCAAAATCATACAATGTGATTTTCTGGATTTTTTTAGATTCCATCTCTCACAGTTGAAGTGTACCTATGATAAAAATTACAGACCTCTACATGCTTTGTAAGTAGGAAAACCTGCAAAATCGGCAGTGTATCAAATACTTGTTCTCCCCACTGTATAAAGAACATGGGGGATTGGAAGTGATGCAGACAATTACATTGATAGAAGTTACAATCTATCTGCAATATTAAGCTGATCTACCCCCAGGAAAAAATAAATAAAATAAAAAATAAAATAAAAACAATGCAGTTTTAAGAAAATAGAGTTAAGAAAATATTTACTAAATAAACTAAAGTATAAAAAAATAAACATAACGAGGCTACCGTTACCGAGTCAATGTGCAGGGGTACAGGTTAGTCATGGTAATTTGTACATATAGGTAGGGGTAAAGTGTCTATGCATAGATAATAAACAGCGAGTAGCAGCAGTTTAAAAACAAAGAGGGGGGGGGGGGGGGGGGGGGGTCAATGCAAAGTGTCCGGGTGGCCATTTGATTAATTGTTCAGCGGTCTTATGGCTTGGGGGTAGAAGCTGTTAAGGAGCCTTTTGGACCTAGATGTGGCGCTCCGGTATCGCTTGCTGTGCGGTAGCAGAGAGAACTGTCTAACTTGAGTGACTGGAGTCTTTGACAATTTTGGGCCTCTGACACAGCCTAGTATAGAGGTCCTGGATGGCAGGAAGCTTGGCCCCAGTGATGTACTGTGCCGTACGCACTACCCTCTGTAGCGCCTTACTGTCAGATGCAGAGCAGTTGCCATACCAGGCATTGATGCAACTGGTCAGGATGCTCTCGATGGTGCAGCTGTATAACCTTTTGAGGATCTGGGGACCCATGCCAAATCCTTTCAGTCTCCTGAGTGGGAATAGGCATTGTCGTGCCCTCTTCACAACTGTCTTGGTGTGTTTTGACCATGATAGTTTGTTGGTGATGTGGACACCAAGGAACTTGAAGCTCTCGACCCGCTCCACTACAGCCCCGCCGGTGTGAATGTAATTTCGTCATATACATTTTTTATTTGAACTCTCATTTCACGATCTGAGATAACTGTATGCAACATTTTAGGCTTTACATTAGAAATATGCTATTTGTCATGTTTTCTTTTTTCAATCCATTTTTAAGCACTGAACGAAGAGTTGTTTGTGAGCCAAGTGAACAGCTCTTTTAGGTGAACAGAGCTAAAAGAGCCTGCTCACCGAAAAGACTTGGAGTGCCCATCAGTGTGTAGCCAGCTAATTATGTGATGTCAATCTATAGCGCCACCCTGCGTTCATGCTGAGTGAAATGTTGCATTTCTGCAGACTGCATGGGCTCTGCCTCTACAAATTATAAAACAATCAATTGTTTTATTCCAGCATCCATGATGTATCAGTACTTTGTGAAGATTGTCCCAACCATCTACGTGAAATGGGATGGAGAGGTGAGTATATGTTGGACATGACAGCTGTGAAATGAACTTGGGTGGCTGGTTATTGACCATACCTACAAATTGTAGCTATTTGACTGAGTTGAATTGATTTTATAGCTATATCACTTTTAAATTAAGTGAATTAATTATTCATTGTTGTATATTTCCCTGTGCATGACTGTTTTTGCGTGCTAAGAAAGGTACTTGGGCATCATGCACAAACAAGGACGTCTTTATTGCTTGTGTCTTACAGGTGGTTAAAACAAACCAATTCTCTGTGACCCGACATGAGAAAGTAGCCAATGGGCTGATCGGAGATCAGGGCCTACCTGGGGTGTTTGTATTATATGAACTCTCCCCTATGATGGTAAAATTCACAGAGAAACAGCGGTAGGTAGCTTCAAACAAAATGGAAAATCCATATAGTTTGTCATTGTGTAGCCTATATACAGTGGGGGAAAAATGTATTTAGTCAGCCACCAATTGTGCAAGTTCTCCCACTTAAAAAGTTGAGAGAGGCCTGTAATTGTCATCATAGGTACACGTCAACTATGACAGACAAAATGAGAAAAAGATTCCAGAAAATCACATTGTAGGATTTTTAATGAATTTATTTGCAAATTATGGTGGAAAATAAGTATTTGGTCAATAACAAAAGTTTCTCAATACTTTGTTATATACCCTTTGTTGGCAATGACACAGGTCAAATGTTTTCTGTAAGTCTTCACAAGGTTTTCACACACTGTTGCTGGTATTTTGGCCCATTCCTCCATGCAGATCTCCTCTAGAGCAGTGATGTTTTGGGGCTGTCGCTAGGCAACACGGACTTTCAACTCCCTCCAAAGATTTTGTATGGGGTTGAGATCTGGAGACTGGCTAGGCCACTCCAGGACCTTGAAATGCTTCTTACGAAGCCACTCCTTCGTTGCCCGGGCGGTGTGTTTGGGATCATTGTCATGCTGAAAGACCCAGCCACGTTTCATCTTCAATGCCCTTGCTGATGGAAGGAGGTTTTCACTCAAAATCTCACGATACATGGCCCCATTCATTCTTTCCTTTACACGGATCAGTTGTCCTGGTCCCTTTGCAGAAAAACAGCCCCAAAGCATGATGTTTCCACCCCCATGCTTCACAGTAGGTATGGTGTTCTTTGGATGCAACTCAGCATTCTTTGTCCTCCAAACACGACGAGTTTAGTTTTTACCAAAAAGTTATATTTTGGTTTCATCTGACCATATGACATTCTCCCAATCCTCTTCTGGATCATCCAAATGCACTCTAGCAAACTTCAGACGGGCCTGGACATGTACTGGCTTAAGCGTCTGGCACTGCAGGATTTGAGTCCCTGGCGGCGTAGTGTGTTACTGATGGTAGGCTTTGTTACTTTGGTCCCAGCTCTCTGCAGGTCATTCACTAGGTCCCCCCGTGTGGTTCTGGGATTTTTGCTCACCGTTCTTGTGATCATTTTGACCCCACAGGGTGAGATCTTGCGTGGAGCCCCAGATCGAGGGAGATTATCAGTAGTCTTGTATGTCTTCCATTTCCTAATAATTGCTCCCGCAGGTGATTTCTTCAAACCAAGTTGCTTACCTATTGCAGATTCAGTCTTCCCAGCCTGGTACAGGTCTACAATTTTGTTTCTGGTGTCCTTTGACAGCTCTTTGGTCTTGGCTATAGTGGAGTTTGGAGTGTGACTGTTTGAGGTTGTGGACAGGTGTCTTTTTATACTGATAACAAGTTCAAACAGGTGCCATTAATACAGGTAACGAGTGGAGGACAGAGGAGCCTCTTAAAGAAGAAGTTACAGGTCTGTGAGAGACAGAAATCTTGCTTGTTTGTAGGTGACCAAATACTTATTTTCCACCATAATTTGCAAATAAATTCATTACAAATCCTACAATGTGATTTTCTGGATTTTGTTTTCTCAATTTGTCTGTCATAGTTGATGTGTACCTATGATGGAAATTACAGGCCTCTCTCATCTTTTTAAGTGGGAGAACTTGCACAATTGGTGGCTGACTAAATACTTTTTTTCCCCACTGTAGTAAGATGTGTGTTACATATAACATGTTTGCTCTTTTTTTCAGATCATTCACTCATTTTCTCACAGGAGTGTGTGCCATCATAGGAGGTGTATTTACAGGTGGGCACCTCTGCATTCAGACAAAGAAAAGGTTGTAATGGGTTCGCAAAAGATGTTGCATAACGCTTACTTCATTATTCAATAGCGTACTGGGATAGTACACAAACGTTTAGACTTTCCCATTTTACAAATGCAGTACACATAGCAAACTCACTTGTCATATTGTTTGTAATTAGTGATGGCTTCTCAGTTTGAAGGTACCATGCAGTATTGGAGGTAGATGTTATTCATTTGTTGGAATTAACCATATGGACAGTGGTTTTACTGTATGTGTGTCAGAGATTTGTCATTTTATTTACTGTATCTTGTATCTTTTTCCCAGTGGCTGGACTCATTGATTCATTGATATACCACTCGGCAAAAGCCATCCAGAAGAAGATTGAACTGGGCAAAGCATCTTAGTGGAATGTTTGGCACAAGAGCAAACCAGTCTCCGGAAGGGCCTATCTGGAAAGGGGAAGTGACTACAAACTGACTCATGCTTCCTAATGTGGCAAGAAACACTAAGAATCTGAAAGATCTAACTCAATATGGAAAGGCACTTTGACTGCTGTGTCTAGAGTGTTGTTGATTTTACAAAGAACGAAAGACAGAATCACTGGCCAGAAGATGGACATAACAGAAGTTTTTTTTATCTCATTTGATTCATCCCCAGTCCTAACAAACTGTACATCTAACAGTTGGTTCCCTGATATTTTATTTTGCCATTCTCAGCTACCCTAAACATTCTGTGGTGGCCTGTGGACATATTTATCCTTAAGTTTATCCCAACCCTTAATTTCTAAACATGGACCCTTCTTTTAAATGTGTATTGCTTCCCCATCACAAATTAAGTATTTGATATGATATGCGACCCGGGCAGGGGGAATGTGTTTTCTAACGTGTGTTCAGGGGTGTATTCATTAGTGTAAACTGTAGCAAAAAGTTTGGCAATGGAACATGTTTTGCAATGGAAACGAGAGTCTCTTATTAGACAAGTTCAGGTAGGGCCCTCCCCGTTTTGGTCTGTTTGCTTCCAGTTGGTTCTTAGTGAATACCCCAGATTGATGGAAGCTCTGCCCGTTGTTGAGAGGACTACTTGAGGAGACTGGATTATGCAGTTTAATAATGTTTTTGTTCTTTTGTTGTGATTGCACATTTTGAGATCCTATTCAGGGGCCTGGGTTGAGTGAAGGAGTGTGTGAGCACATGTGTTGTCTGGTGCTGTGCATAGTCTATTTTGTGTGTGGGAGAGATGTATTTATATTTTGATTGTCCTCAACTGTTTTTAAAATGAAAAATATATGTTGAATACACCAGCCTGTAATGTAATGATTTGTCTGACATTTTGTGTACACAATGTGTCCTCTGTTCAATTCCTGCCCCAAGAACAACCAAGAGTGAAATATAGATCTCAAAGATCTGGAACACTCAACTGAAGAATGTATGGAATTGTTTTAACTCACTTGCTTATGGCTTTCTTTAGCTCTTTGCCCTTCATATAATTATATATAGCTGAAGGGGTGCATTTATTTGGGTTAGGGGTTTCTTATTGAACACACTTAAATTCAATTATAAACTGGGTGGTTTGAGCCCTGAATGCTAATTGGCTGACAGCCGTGGTATATCAGACCGTATGACACGGGTACGACAAAACATTTATTTTAACTGCTTTAATTACGTTGGTAACCAGTTTATAATAACAATAAGGAACCTCAAGGGTTTGTGATAAGGGCTGTGTCCAGGCACTCCACGTTGCGTTGTGCATGAGAACAGCCCTTTAGCCGTGGTATATTAAGTATTGTACGTGACTTTATGATCATCCCTCTTCTGGACCTTGACTAATTTACTTATTCTCTAGTGTGAAGTACTTGGTCATCATTACAGGAAAAAGATAAGGGTCCTGCTATACAAGATGGAGACCTTACTGTCTACTCTGTTGCCAAACGACTGTACTGATATCTGTGGAATGTGAGTGATAAAAAACAAGTCTACTGCACCACACTTCCTCTACAAGCGCATGTGTAATAGCCTAAGGACAACCAAATGATCACTGTAGGGCTGCCTATAGTGGTCTCTTTTCAGTGATGTCTTTGTCGAAGTAGGCTTACTGTTCAATATCCTTTCCAAATGATCTGAGGTTTCATTTTTTTGCCACAAGGGGGAGCTCCAGTTCTTTCAATATACCACACTGAGTACTCTAATAATTGTGATAATAATAAAAAAAGAGTGAAATACCATCCTAGACAGCTGAATAACATTATTGTGTGTAACTTCCTGTATATGTGTCACAGCCACGTATCTACAGTGAGGGGAAAAAAGTATTTCATCCCCTGCTGATTTTGTACGTTTGCCCACTGACAAAGAAATGATATGTCTATAATTTTAATGGTAGGTTTATTTGAACAGTGAGAGACAGAATAACAACAAAAAAATCCAGAAAAACGCATGTCAGAAATGTTATAAATTGATTTGCATTTTAATGAGGGAAATAAGTATTTGACCCCCTCTCAATCAGAAAGATTTCTGGCTCCCAGGTGTCTTTTATACAGGTAACGAGCTGAGATTAGGAGCACACTCTTAAAGGCAGTGCTCCTAATCTCAGTTTGTTACCTGTATAAAAGACACCTGTCCATAGAAGCAATCAATCAATCAGATTCTCCACCATGGCCAAGACCAAAGAGCTCTCCCAAGGATGTCAGGGACAAGATTGTAGACCTACACAAGGCTGGAATGAGCTACATGACCATCGCCAAGCAGCTTGGTGAGAAGGTGACAACATTTGGTGCGATTATTCGCAAATGGAAGAAACACAAAAGTACTGTCAATCTCCCTCGGCCTGGGGCTCCAAGCAAGATCTCACCTCGTGGAGTTGCAATGATCATAAGAACGGTGAGGAATCAGTCCAGAACTACACGGGAGGATCCTGTCAATGATCTCAAGGCAGCTGGGACCATAGTCACCAAGAAAACAATTGGTAACACACTACGCCGTGAAGGACTGAAATCCTGCAGCGCCCGCAAGGTCCCCCTGCTCAAGAAAGCATATATACAGGGCCGTCTGAAGTTTGCCAAGAACTGGTTGAAAGTGTTTTGGTCAGATGAGACCAAAATCGAGCTCTTTGGCATATACTCAACTCGCCGTGTTTGGAGGAGGAGGAATGCTGCCTATGACCCCAAGAACACCATCCCCACCATCAAACATGGAGGTGGGAACATTATGCTTTGGGGGTGTTTTTCTGCTAAGGGGACAGGACAACTTCACCGCATCAAAGGGACGATGGACGGGCCATGTACCGTCAAATCTTGGGTGAGAACCTCCTTCCCTCAGCCAGGGCATTGAAAATTGGTCGTGGATGGGCATTCCAGCATGACAATGACCCAAAACACACGGCCATGGCAATATAATAATAATAATATGCCATTTAGCAGACGCTTTTATCCAAAGCGACTTACAGTCATGCGTGCATACATTTTTGTGTATGGGTGGTCCCGGGGATCGAACCCACTACCTTGGCGTTACAAGCGCCGTGCTCTACCAGCTGAGCTACAGAGGCAACAAAGGAGTGGTTCAAGAAGCAGCACATTAAGGTCCTGGCGTGGCCTAGCCAGTCTCCAGACCTTAATTCCATAGAAAATCTGTGGAGGGAGCTGAAGGTTCGAGTTGCCAAACGTCAGCCTCGAAACCTTAATGACTTGGAGAAGATCTGCAAAGAGGAGTGGAACAAAATCCCTCCTGAGATGTGTGTAAACCTGGTGGCCAACTACAAGAAACGTCTGACCTCTGTGATTGCCAACAAGGGTTTTGCCACCAAGTACTAAGTCATGTTTTGCAGAGGGGTCAAATACTTATTTCCCTCATTAAAATGCAAATCAATTTATAATTTTTTTTTGTTGTTATTCTGTCTCTCACTGTTCAAATAAACCTACCATTAAAATTATAGACTGATCATGTCTTTGTCAGTGGACAAATGTACAAAATCAGCAGGGGATCAAATACTTTTTTCCCTCACTGTATGAGCCATCTTGCTCTTGAAAGCCTTATTTTTAAAACGGGGGCCCAATGTTGACCCACAATATGCCTGTACAAATGCATTATTCCGTAGTTACACTCATCCAATACTAATTCCCTGGGGAGTCTACTGCTGGAATTGCTTTTCCATTGCATGTATTCACTGGAAGCTTGGCCTCTAACTCCCACATCCTGCCGACTGGATTGTGATGCAATCATCCACACAAGAGCATGAGGGGCGCTAAGCAAACGGCTTTGAAAAGTTGCGGATGTTTTTTCGAGCTTAGCTGGGAGCTGTATGACCCAGAGTCTGGTGAAAGGAAAGGCAATGTCAGTAAATCTGGCTCATGCCCATCACGGCCGGCGTATTTGGACTGTGAGAGAGGATCGGGTTGTCTATGATATGATTCAGTGACCACTATTTCAAATGGACACTCAAAAGGAAGTGATTCTCAACCAATTTTAGTTAAGGATTGGACCCTTTCTTTCAATTTTCACCTAAAATGACATACCCAAATCTAACGGACTGTAGCTCAGGACCTGAAGCAAGGATATGCATATTCTTGATACCATTTGGAAGGAAACACTTCGAAGTTTGTGGAAAAGTGAAATTAATGTAGGAGAATATAACACATTAGATCTGGTAAAAGATAATACAAACAAAAAAACATGTTTTCTTTTTTTTTTTTTTTTCATCATCTTTGAAATGCAAGAGAAAGGCCACGATATAATATTGCAGTTTAGGCGCAATTTAGATTGTGGCCACTACATTGCAGCAGTGTGTGTGCAAAGTTTCAGATTGATCCAGTGAAGCATTGCAATGCTGGACTATTTTGTATCAAGTCTGCCCAAATGTGCCGAATTGGTCAATTGATACATTTTCAAGTACATAACTATAGAGAACATACATTTTGTATTACCATATCATTTTTGTAAGTTTACACACTCCCAGGAATGTCATACATGATGGATCATTAGCTTATACACTAACTTTCACACATCTAGATGGCCAGGCGGGGTGGGTGTGGAGCCAGAGACAGCAGGGGTTGAAACTGTAGAACCCAGTTCCTACATTTGAATATAAAAATTGATTTTATCAAACAAAACTATGCTACAATTTATCTCTGGGAACCTTAGGATGACAAATTAGAGCAAAATTACTGAATGTAAGTACATTATTTACCTTCAGAGGTGAGTGTATCATACCAGTTGCCGTGATACATTTTTTGTTGTTGTGCACTCTCCTCAAACAATAGCATGGTATTCTTTCACCGTAATAGCTACTGTAAATTGGACAGTGCAGTTAGATTAACAAGAATGTAAGCTTTCTGCCCATTTAAGACATGTC